AAAACTTTAAACAAGCTTTGCTATGAAAAAAATGTCAAAGAAAAGAGAGTCAGGTTTGCAAATTACACTACAAACATTGCCGACAGATTTTATAATTGTGATAACGAACTTAAAAATTAAAAAAGTAATAATCAATCAAACAACCAATCAGTTCAATTAATCAACCAATCAATCAGTGAAATAACCAATCAATCAGACAATCCATTTTTAGGAATAACTCTAATGTTTAACTCTTTACAAACTGTAATCGCTGAAGTTTTTACTTTTACAGGTGCGTGCATATCTAACAATTCGACATCAAATCTTCTATAAACTGAGGCTAATAACGTTTTCAATTCGATTATTGCAAGTTTTCTACCTGGGCATATTCTCGGACCTCCACCAAACATTGAAAACGAATTTTTATGTATTTCATAATTTCCACAAAACCTTTCCGGGATGAACTTGTCAGGTTCTTTCCAATAAAGTGGATTGTTGTTGATTCCACGAACGTACATTATAAAATACGTTTTGGCCGGCCACATGTATCCTGCTATTTTGTCAGGTCGTTGGCTGTATCTTGAAAGCATAGTAATCGTAGGTCTTATCCTTGACGTTTCTTTAACAATGGCTTCCACGTATTTTAAATTTGCAAGATCTTCTAATGTAATCGGTCTGTATGAGTCACCTTTAAACACTGTTTCAAGTTCTTCCAACAATTTCTTTTTAACTTTTGGATGATGTGAGATGTAATATAATGCGTAACAAAAAGTATTTACAGACTAAAAAAAAAAAGACAAATAAATAATGGGATAACAAATTAAATTTAGAAAAGTACATAATTTTACATTGTACAACTTTTGCTACTCACCGTATCCGTACCGGCAACAAACGCATCAAATATGACGCCGCGAATCTCATCATCGGTCATTGGTCTTGCTAATGATGGATCAACTTTTTCTTGAGGATGAGGATCATATTGTGTATTAGCAATGATCAAGGACGTCAACAAATCCATCCGTTTCATGTTAAGTTCGCCATGCATGATTGTCTTTTCAACTTCTTTTCTTTTTTCTTTAACAATATTCACCAGTTTTTCGTAAAGTCGGTTACAATTTTTCAATAGTTTGTCCACACGCGGTTTAATAAAAGGCAGGTTTCGTAAAATCTTTGGCGCAAATATAAGTTGATGGTCTAATACGAAAGTATTTATGCCTTCGACAAACTCTTCAGTATCGAGTATCTCTTTAGTGAGCGGTTCATTCTTTAATTTTTGCCAATAATGCTTCATGACGGACATTTGTTTTCCAGCTGTCAACATGGCGATATAATCTGTGGTAAAATGACGCATCCAACTTGCGATATCGATAACAGTGCCCCTTTCGCCTGGCTGCTTCAAATCGGTCCAACATTGTTCCATTTCCTCATACAATTGGTTTAAAAGAGTGCCCGGTTTATCCGTTTGACACAATGGCATGATGGAATGCGTAAAGACATGGCGATTGAATTTCCAATAATTGTAATCGTCGTTCATCATTACACCTTTCTTTTCGAGACTGAATAAATTAAATAAACCGTTATTTGGAGTTCTCATAAAATGCGCCTTGCTATCGGCAGCCACGAAAGTGTCGACATATTCCGCGCGAGTAATTACGATTTGCCTATTGCCAGCAACATTTAATTCGTATATGCCATTGTGCCCGTACTTTTTGTTTAATCTCCAATACCAAGCGTCGATGCCATCCATGAAAATTGCTAGACTGCCAATTAATGGAATTGGAATTGGCCCAGGAATTGGATTTATGCGGGTAAAGTGTTTATAATAGAAATGTATTACATATATGCATGTTAGAGATAGCAATCCAGTCAAAATATTGGTAAATGTAATGTCGCTGAGAATATTGTAAAGCACACCCATTTTGAATATCGAGCACTTTCTTGGATAAATGCTTCTCATCAAAAGAACTTATATATACTATTTGTCTCATCCATCTATACCACGAAACATTCTTGTTTATTAAACCATATACGGTAGACCATCATTGCACATCACCAATTTTTGAAACGATAAATTTGATAGCGGTAACTCTCCAGCATAGAAATTACTATATTAGTAGCTATTAAATTTTGAATTAATAAGGTCAATGCTCCGATTGATGCTAAGAGAAAAAGTTTAAAACCTTTTCTCTTAGCATTAAAAATGTTGTTCTGCTATAGAACGCATGCTGAAACAGTACTTGACAGGAACTCTAAATGCTCTCTGAATGTAAGTTTAAAATTTTTCCGGCAATGTTAGTTAACTTGTATTACACGCATGCATTTAAACAATTGTTTTCAAGCGCACTTGCTACAAATAGATTTTTTAAATTAGCCAAACAAATTATGCTACAAATGTTGCACAAACTGTATGAATTCACTTTAGCGCTATTAAACTTTTGCCTCTGTATCATGCGCCTTTTCGCAAATACAACTTGCTCGGCAATTGGTCACTGCTACCACGAGACTAATTATATTAAGTCAACCATATACTTTTTCGGTTAGCATCACGCAATACCGTACGGGCCCGATTTTTATATTCTAAGAATCTAATAGCTACTGCTTAGCTACGCTTCGCTTCTATTCTACGTAGCCGCTTTTACGAGTTTCGCTATGTGTCGTATCTCTTTTTATATTTCCTGATGCCACGCAAATTATGATATACACTAACTACATACGGTATTTCATAGAAAGTAACAGGTTTGATCATAAATCACTTGGCATTAGAAGTTCTAAAACTTTTTAGTAGTTAAGACATTTTTATAACATTTTTAGTAGTTTAGACATTTGCCATGGAAAGTTCTATGGTGGCTATCATCTATAAACCGCACTAATGTCACATGACTTTAAAACTTTATAAGTTAAAAACAAATAAACCTG